TTCAAAAATTACAAAGACAAACTTTTCAAAGATGCCTTCAAATACTATTATTACCAATATTAAACCAAAATGACATGTATTTTATTATAAAAAATGAAATACATGTGTTTACACCAAAAATATTGGTTATTCTTGCTGATATAGTAGAAGCTGATGCATTTACCGCAACATACCTTCCATCAACTTCAAAATGGCCTTGTTATTGTTTGATAAATAATGATGATCTTAATAATATGTCATTATCTAATGATGATGTTGTTTTACGAACTCCAGAAATGATGAAAGAAGCTATCAATACAAATCAAGCACATGAATTTTCAATCCATACTGAATTTAATTTTTTCTGAAAATTTAAAGATTTTAACATATATGAAACTACAGTTCCAGATCGAATGCATATGCTTGACCTTGGAATAACAAAATATCTTATAGAATTCACTTGCATGAATTTACAACAAAAAGTCAATAATAGGGCAGTCAAAGAAATGGACTATAGACTTAGTGCTATCCCAAGACATCCAGGTTTAATAATTTTAAAGAATGAATTAGAAAATGTCTCGAAATTTATAGCCAATGACTATCGCAATATAATGAAAATCATAATTTTTGTTATAGACAACCTATACGATGATTATAATGAAGGTGGGATAACATGCAAAAGGTTGTGTAATGTTTTTTACACATATTTAAAAATGTATATAGTGTTACGGCAAGAAACATTTACAAACATAGATTTGGAAATATTGAAGGTAAATATAATAATTTAAAAAATGTTAAGTATCAATATAAATTTTTATTGTTATTATCGTTAATAATTTTATGTTATTAGTCATTAATAAGTGAATTTTGTCAGGAATTTGTAACCATATTTTCAGAATACTCATCAAGTAACTGTAAAATACCGAAGCTTCATGTACTTAGATATCATGTAATCCCATCCATTCGTCTTTATAGATCTATGAATAGAATGTCAACAGAAACATACAAAACCCTCCATAAAAGTAACGTGAAAAACCCTTATCGAATGACAAACAAAAAAAAATATATTCCACAAATGCTTAACACGGTATCTATCAGTGTATTTTTTTATTATAATTCGTCTATTGATATTAATTAATGAATATGCATTTTTAAACCAAATTTAATGATAGGTACGACGTCAATATTTAGCTTTCAAACAAAAGTCACCTAGAACAAGGAAATCAAATGGATTCAGAAACCTGCTGTGGGAGTTTAAATTTACAGAACTTGATTTAAAAGTTTTGCAAATAATACAAGATGACAATATTAATCCCTTGCATAAAGAAGGTTTTGAGAATTTTTGAGTAAGTTTGAAAGAGTTTTTAACGGAAAATGAAGTAACTTTCAACAAGAATTTTGGATATTTTAAATTCTATTCAAGTACATATATTGAATCAACAGATATTATTCGGACATCTGGAAATTATTATGAAAAAGAATGGTTCAGTGATATAGTAGTTTCTTCTGAAAATTCTGAATAGTACGGAAAGGTACTTATAGCGTTTTTAATCTTTATCATTATAAAAATTTTTTTAAATTATATAACATTATTAACTGCATTTAATTTTCTAGGTACTTTTATTATTGGAATTTTTTACCGAAAATAAAAAAGACCTAATAAATCTTATTTTATTACGATGGTATGATGAAATAGATGAAGAAATGTATGGATGTCCAAGATTATGGTTAACTGACCAGTATACATGTGTTTATCTAGACTCAGTAGATATGTCAATTCATATTATACCAAGAAATAATTGTAAAAATGAATATTTCGTTAATAAGTACATTTTTTAATAAATTTGTAATTATTATCAGCATCGATAATTAATGTAATGATTAATTACAATAATTATCATTATCACTAATTATTAAAGATTAACATGATGATTAATTACAATAATTATCAACATTGTAAATTATCATAAATTAACTTAATGATTATTTTTGAAATCTTTTTTTCAGTTAATTACCGTAATATATCGCAGATAATTATCGATAATTATCATAATTCGTTAAATAATTGATATATTTTATATGATTAAATGTGATAATTGCTGATAAAGTGATATTTAATGATATTTAACCTTTGAAAACATTTCCTGATGAAATCAATATCTATGAACTGGACTCTTCAAATATTCCATCATGGTATAAAGAGGGCTATTCTTAGTACTGTACTGGCTATTTAAAAAATAGAGGAGAAAAGAAGAAGAATCCTGATTCTCAACCATTTCTTTCTATAGAAAAGAATCCAGAACGCGCAAGAGAATTACTTATCTAGATTCAAGATACAATTAAAGCTAAAAAGTTATCTGACACTGTTTTTACTGAAAGTGGAACACGTAATGCTTGACCATTTAATGAATTCTTAAAGCAAGAACCTTAATAAAACTATATCTAAAAAATTAAGAGATTATGGAAGTAAACACGCTTTCAGAATTATGGTAGTAAGAATCCAACTTCCTAGCATCTTAAACTACTTTCAAGAATCGTATTAAGATAAGAATCTGAATGTCTTGATACAAGTAATAATTATACTATAAACAACACAGAATCAGAAGACTCCAGACCTGAAGATGAGCATAACTCAGACCTGAAATCAGAGTTTACAGAAAATAATGAAATATCTGATATTATCAATATGTATAGCTACTAGCAATGCATCAAAAAAATTATTAAAAAATAATATATATCATAGGCTTAGTAGACCTTTGTATTTATTTTTACATGTAATAATAATTTTTTTTCTTGGCAAAAGTGATCTGTGTTTCAAATTGGAATGGATACATGATCTTTTATTATTTAATTTGAATATTTAGTATACTAAACAAGTGTTATCAATCATATCAAATGCACAATCTATTGATTTATTAAGAGAGGTAAATGCTAAGCTCTTAGTTGAGATTTCTGAATTCAGGAAGAAGTTTGCAGAAGTTAAGGCTGAGAATGCGAAGCTGAAGCAGATTATTGAGAAAAATGTCAGGCGTGATGCTAGAGTTAGGGAATTAGAGCAAAAAAATATAGAGCTTGAGGTTAGACTAGTGATAGTGAAACAGGATTGCTCAATAGTAGATGATCAGCTACATAAAAAAGCAATATTAAAGATGTATATAAAACAAACCATATCAGATGTTGATTTATCCAGCTCTGTGTCAAACCAGCGAAATAATGATGATGTTAAGACATCAGAAGAAATGAAGATGGATGCTTTCTTAATTGAGGTAAATAAGAAAAGCATTAGTGATAAAACTAGAAAGAGCAGACGAGAAAAGAAAGTTCAGAATAAGATGATTGCTAAAGATTCATCTTCTATTACTTCAGACTTGACTCATTGTGAGAAGGACATCTCTATGACTAGCACTGAACTTGTAAGTATCCCAGAATGGGTAGTTAAAGAATCGATTCCAATCTATAAATAAGTTACCTCTAGTAATAAATCATCTGCTAGGACATCGCCAGTAAAATCGCCTATAGTGAATAAACAGGTTCTGACTTCTGAAAACACAGAGACAGAGTGTCAAAAAATTTCTTATAGAGTAAGATTTAAGATGGGAGCTATTCTCCACTGAAGTTGGTAATGGTAAGATTAATAAGACGTTTGATATTCAGATTCCTGAACTCTCTTTAGAAGCAATTCTGATAGAATCTAATAAAATTATAGTATAGAATATAGTTAATCTATTTAGAGTAGCAATGAAGCTTAGACGTAAGAAGATTTTATGCTGATATTGTTACTATAAAGTATATGAGGATCGAGTCAAGAATATTAAGTCTAAGAATAATGTTGATGATAAATCAGTAAGAACATTGGTATATAGTAAAATTAAACCCCTTCTTCCTGATATTACTGATGCATAAAATAACTTTCAGAACTAAAAAAATCTATATATTGTTTGATGGGATAGGAATAAATAAAATTCAAATAATTAGCTGTAACATAAGTGCTATCTCAAATTTATATGATAATTAGATCCAAGACATTATAAATGATTTTCCAAAAAAACTACTAATACAGATGATATAAAGACTTTATTCTAATTTAGAACAGACACGTGACTTTGAAAACTAATAAGACTGAAATATAAACAAATCTCTTAGGAGTAAATACATCGATAAATGTATTATCTACATTTTAATCTAAGCCAACCTATGACCGCACCTATTTTTGTAACAAGATATTAGATCAATATTCTGATTTATATAGAAAATTTAGTAGTGAAAGTTTTGATTATTATGGAATTACCAATGAGAAAATATATCTATTATGCGAGTTAGAGCATGATGAGGAGGAAAGTTTAAAAGGTAGATATAAAGCTAGATATTATTTTATTAAATGTGAATAGTGTGAAATTGAGATAACTGCATAGTCTGATCACTTTGGTCAGAAGCGTATTGCATAACCCTATATTTGCTCACGCTCTATTGTGATATTTTTTTAAAGCTAATTTTTGTTAATTATTATCTAATTTAAATTGATTTGTGATCATATAAAAAGAAACATGACCAAGTCTGATAAAATATTAACTCTCAAATATCTGGATTGGCATGCCAAATTAAGTGAGTTACCAAGCGTTTTGACAGATAAGATTCGTTTCAGTTTGTACAAAAAATATAAAAGAGAAATGGGACTTGAGCCATGGCAATTATCAGAAGGTCACCTTCTCATAAATTCGAAGCTAGAAAACAAAGTATATGATTTATCTTTTTCTGAGTAATGTGAAGAAAAAGGCCTATCACCTTCGAAACCAGACCTGATCCAGAGTTAATTATCAAATCCATCTTAAGCACTTCCCATACTTGAAATTTAGAAATAGTTTCAGAGGGATTGATAATTATGATTTTATATCACCTCAGCCGTGGAGCTCACCATGTCTTATTTTAATAAAATACATGGGAATTATGGATTACATGGCTCGTGATACTGCGAAAATAGGAATCAGCTCTCTTATGATCTTGAATTAGCAAAATTCTATTCTCAAGATAAGTTGGAATATTGTCTTACCTGCAACACTTCAAGCAATTGTAGCATAGAAGCTTTGTCTTGTACTCTTGTGCTTGTATTTATTTTTTTATCACTTACATATATTAATAAAGTACTCTTCTGATATGTTTATATGAAGTATTGTAAGTCAGATGATTCAGATCAAATCTGTGCGACAATCAATTTCTCGTACATATACCTGATATACCCACAAAAAATTTCTTTTTTAATCGCAAAAGCTATGTCGTTTAACGTTGCAAGTTCCTTCATCTGATCTTCCGACAGCTGAGGAAGTGAAAGGATATAATGCCGAAGAACTTAATAGATTTTTGAAAAAGAGACTAAACAACATTGTTAAACACATTGATACCTTAACAGATCAAGAAGTCGATGGAGAAGCCTTTCTTGACTTAACGCCCGCTGGCCTTAAAGCTTATGAGATACCTCTCGGACCTACTTCAAAAATCGTAAAGCTGATTAACGAAATTCAAAGAGGTAAGCGAACTTCTCTTGCACGCTCGCCAATAATACCGAATACTTACTTATTATTGTGCTTTTCTTTCCTGCTTCTTATCGTCAAACCCGCCCAAAAAACATATTCACGATATCGTAGAGCAACCCGTTGCTGGTGAGTCGTAATAAATATTCAACACAAGTAACGTGTTTTGGCTTAATTTTTTGATAGCCAATTTTGTCATACTTATTAATAATATCAAATGTTCCAATCCTTCCTTTGGTAGTCCTGAAAGGAACTGCTGATTCTGTATATTTATTCATAGACAATTCGAACGTATATATCCAAGGAAAGAAAGAGACAGCCAGGCGTGAAGCTGTAGATGAACATCTGGTTCAAATCGATTATGGTAAATTAGTTGAAACGGCTCAAGATGGTCGACATATGGGTGCTGTTCCTGTTGTTGTGGGATCGATTCCTCCTCCTGAAGATACAATATGGGCAAAGCTTAGGAATCTCGGATATAGTGTAACCGTATTTGAGCGAAATTTTTTAAATAGAGAAAAAGAGGTCGATTCGGAAGTCTCTTTACGTATTAGTGACACAATCCACGATTATATGCCCGGTACGGTGATATTAATCGCCGGAGATGGTGACTACGGTCCGATATTTAGACGAGTCCTTGACAAAAATTGGACAATTGAGATCTGGTTTTGGACCGATGGTAATAAAATATTAATGTTTTGTAACCGAGTTATTATGTACTAATCTACCGTTAGGATTGTCATCACGCCTTACAGGAATGGATATCGATTATCCTGAATACAGAACAGCAATTGCTACAAGAACCACCATTATAAATCTGGACGACTTTTACAAGAAATTCATGTATGCTTGTGGATATAATGGAATTTCGGAAACAAAGTGGCTTCAAATTTTTACAGACCTAGTTGAGGATAGTGACATAATGAAATGTTACGTAGAATTAGACTTGTTCGGTTGGTGGTACAGACCAAAGCCGGACTCTTTGAAATTGTATGTTAGAAAATATTCTCAATGGGAACAACTGAAAAATTTGATAACGCGCAAATATCCTAA